GGTTTCAGAGTTTGGAGGTAAACCCCGTGGGGTAGTATAGGGTTGCAACCTTTTCACCAGAGTATTTTGGGCAGTATGTTGCTGCGAGGTATTTCTTATATCATAAGAGAGTCATTTGTGGGTCTAAGATGGAAGAGAACAAGTAGGCGCCTTATTGAGGGAGGCATACTTTTAGCAGCAGTTCCAGGTGATCAAGAGGAGTATATCAGGGCAGTAGCCCTCGTTGTCTATGTCATGTGAGGTCTCCCGATTTTATGATGATTTCCACTGTGAGAGGTTGGTCGAGGGATCAGAGGCGATAGTGCATTATTCCCGGACCAAGGGTCCGGACTAATTCGGAACAGTTGAGGTACCCAACGATGTGTCGATCTGAGGCGTTGAGATGACTATAAGCAGTCATGTTGGGAGGATTCCAAGATTCTTGCCTGAGTTACGAGATATTCGGAGTTGCTTGATTCTATCAGGAAGATCATTGAAGTGATTATATGACACGTTCCAAAAGTCTAGTGTGATATACCTGGTGAAACAGTCTATGGAGTAGATTACTGGTGTACCAATTAGTGATGGTTTGAACCATGAGTGGGGGAGAACTAAGTATTCTATTTAGAGGCTCAGCGATCCGTTCAAAGTGCAGTTAGAGAACTAGTTATGGAGATTCGTAGTGGATACATGAGACCTGGTATATTGGTGGGTGAGGCGAGGTGTAAGGCGGGGTGATGTATGGGTATGTGCTTAAGGAAGGATGAGAGGACCCACGGCATGTGGCCGTTGGCCGGATAATTTATTATGGCTAGGGATTTTTCGTGACGACAATTGTTGAGTTTGAGGCGGTTGGGTCACCCAGTTTAGGGTGCAATAGCTGAGATTTGCGGGAATAAGTATAGATTGTGATTTATACTCCAGAAGGGACACCAGTTGATTTGTTAGCCAATCTCAGAATCGATGTGAGTAGTTCGTATGGGCGGTGATCAGTAGAGGGTGGAGCTTTGGATTTTCGTCAACGTGTTTTTAATTATTGATGATTCCTCTGTGTTTCAATTTGTGAGATGGGAATGTTTCGAAGTTACAAGTTGTGCGAGAATAAGATCGGTTGTGAGATTCTGAGAGGGTACATTGCGGTATCTAAGTATGATGTCGTGAGTATGAGATCAGTGGTTAAGGCAAGACATTGTGAGGTTCTGTGATGGTGTACCAAGGTATCCGAGTATGATGTCCTAAATTTCGGAGTATTTTGAGTCTTGAGTTTGAGATGGCAAGTGGTGTATCAAGTATCCATAGTTCCATTGGGACCCCTTCGGCTATTTGACATCAATCAAGATTATCTAAAATGTGAATTGTAGCGAGAAAATGAGTTTTGTCATGACGGTTTCCGTCGGGAGTAATGAAGCTTATTTTGGATGGGTGTGTGTACCTATATATGCTGGGCCACGGAGCATGAGTTAGTGAACGCAGTGTGGCGTCGACTTGAGGATGAGATTGTGGGATGGTAAGAGAAAGTGTTGTAAGACTTCGGGGAGCTATATCATCCATGAGTTAGTGCGAGAGAGTGTGGTGATACTGCAGAAAGCCGTAGTATTTAGCAGTTAGTGAGAGGTTGTGGTGATACTGCAAGGAGTTGTAGTATTCACCAAACAACAAGCAAGCCTTGTGAGACTACGGAGAGCTGTAGTTTTCACTGGTTAGAGAGAGAGAGAATTGTGGAATTGCGGGGGGGATCGTAGCTTTCACTAGCCAGCGAGAAAGAGAGAACCATTGTAAATCTACGGAGAGATATAATATTCGCTAGTCAGAATGGGACATAAAGGAGTTCTTAGGCTTGGGTAGCCTTAGCACTTGAGTCTTCTAGAACCCGGTTGCCGAACCAAGGGCGAGACTGGGCTCTCCGTGTCAGTCGAGGATTGTTGTATACCGGGTTGAGGAGGGATTATCGTAAGCGGAAGGAACTGGAGAGATGGTGTGGGCATAAATTCACGAATTGTGGGTACGGTTCGGGTATCAGATTGAAAATGAGTGGTTCCGACTTTGCGTCGGGCCATACTCTCAAGCTTGATTTGGCTCTAGTGGTATATTCAGAAGTCGAAATAAGATTCCAGACTTAGAGGTGGGTTCCATTTTGAGAGGTATTGTGTATCATCTGATGTCTTAGACCTGTGTAGGTCAGTTCGTTTGTATGGGAAGAACCGCTAGACGTATGGAGCTAATGAGTAGTAGACAACAGATGTCGAGGGTGAGACGATTTCAGTTGGGGTTGTAGTATTCGCTTGGGGTAAAACGAACTTCATGACTTGCGTGTCACACTGGGACGAGATAGTTAGTGTGAGAAGGAAGTAGGTGAGACGTTTTGGGGTATGCAATGGGTAACCTTTGGAGGTTCAACTGTTGGGTCGGGAGATGACTTGGTGCTCAGTGTTGAAAGGTATATTTAAGAAAGGAGCTGGGGTTTATGATTGTTAGATGTTAGAGGATACTTCTAAGCAAGCATTATATTTTTCTTGTGTCTGAGGACAAGGTGTTGAGAGTTCATTGTTCAGATGGGTTTTGCTTGCAGTACAGTGGATGGGTCCCTGGTATGATGTTATCCTTTCATTCCTTAGAGTATGATCTGGATTGTTTAATATGTCTGGTATGAATGATCGGTAGCCAATCTTTGGGCATTGACTTGTTCCTATCAGTCGCAACAAGAGAATCAGAGTGAAAGTGTGTTATTAGGGTCTGTTATTCAAGGAGCGATGAGCATGATGATATCTTGCGAGGTGTCACAACTAGAAATTTTTAGTGCCTTGTAACTACAACACTTATATCAATTATGAATCAAAAACATGAAAGCATGCATGATACTTACACTATGACAACAAAATTTCAATCAAACACTTCATACAAGCGCTGTAAATAGTCAACAAATAATTGGAAACCCTAGAAGTCCTTGTTTAAGTCCATTTTGGACTAGGACTTTCTTATTGGGCCCAATGGACCAATAAGCTCCCAATTGGAATATCATGGGCTTAGACCTCTTAAATGGGTTGTAATTGGACTCACTTTCATTTATTTCCATATTTTGGATCATACTGGGCCTAGAATGAAATAAATTATTTAAATGGACCATATTGGGCCATAATTAACCTAATTTAGCCCTAATAGGTTATAAAAATCATATTTATATTTATTTGGGCCAAACATCACTTAACATAACCATGAAATAGGCTTAAGCATACAAGGCCCAATCCTTTTCTTTTTCCCTCTCCAAATCGCAGCCCAAGCCCAAATGAAGGGAGGATTTGACTTTTCCTATGCCACCTCATAATTGCCTAAATGATTTCTATGCAAAAATAACCCATACATCCATGCATTTCGCATATTTCCATGCAAGCACTCTCTTCTCTCCTCTCTCTCTTGCTCTCGGCCGAAACCAAACACCCACACACACACTTCATTCAACAATTCTCTCAAAGAAACTCTCTCCCCATTCTCTCCAAATTTTTGAGATCTAAGAGGTGTTCAAGGGATTTCTTCCATAAAAATCATCATCCAAGGTAAGTTGGTGCTTAAATCTATGTTCTAACTCACTAATTTTCATAAAAAAATCATCTCTTAATCCATTCAAGTTCATGATCTTGCATCTTAGAACCCACTAAGTTCGAGATCCATCCAAGGAACTTGCTATGGCAGAAAATAGCACCAAACTTCTCCAAATCTTCGTCAAAACCGATCCACAACTCAAGGTGAGTTTCATAACCCCTTCTTTCGGTTTTTATGAGTTTTATGGGGGGGGGGGAGAGAGAGAATACAAGTAAAAGTGTAGATCTATGTGTAAATGTATGCTATGTGTGATTTGATGCCTGTATGTGTATGATATCGTGTGTTTGTGATGAATATGTTATCCAAAAAGTGTGTAAAAACCGAGATCTAAAACATGAGGAAGGAAATAAACATAACTTAAACTATTTTACACTAATCAAGTTAAGAAAAATAGTTTATATGGTTAGGATGAACATAAAATCCATTTTTGGACATAAAACGTCAAAAATACAAAACTTAGGGGCCAAACCGACAAATTATAGTTTATGGAGGGTCAAAAGGGTCCAAACAGTTTCTATAATAATTTTTCTGAACATCAACATTTTTGAGGAGCTTAAAATGTAAATTTTGAATTTAATGGGCAAAATTTGGGCTTTTCGGCCCAATAAGCTTCAAAATGCGAAATTTCTAAATTTGAGGGGCTGAAAATGCAACTTTCTGTAAAACAGGGGATTTGAAGTGTAATAAAACTATTCCAATGGTCAAAAATGTAAAATTTTTCTATTTTGAGCCAAAACTATCAAAGTTGCGAAATTGAGGGTTTTAACCGAGAAAACATCATTCTGGAAGGACTAAAGCTGTTTACAAAATAAATATGGGCTAAAAATGTCTTTTCAACAAGTTTATGATACAAAAGTGTCAAAATAATGTTTTAAGGACTAAAAATGAAATTCTTTTTATATAAAGAACTAAAAGTGCTATTTTTATAAAAGAAAGGTTGTGAAAAGGTAAAAATATTACTTTTAAACAAACTAATTCATTAGGACAAAATACAAGATCCACGACTACTGATGAAACGTAAAAACAAATACACTCTCACAACCAATATCGTTACAAAACGAATTGATTCGGTCTCGAATCAATAACAAAACAAAATTCAATAAACCATAGTATTTCAATAAACACGGGATAACTACGAGGAGTCAACATTCAATCTTTGGGCTTGAAAGTTTCAAATCGTGCTTGTTGGGCCTTGCTAGCCCAATAACATGATCTTTGGGCCCGAAGGGAACGCGCTTACATGTTAATGGGCCTTCTATGACCCAATTACATGTAAAAGGACTTTCAATAGCTCTATTGTGCTATTGGGCCCTAATGGTCCATTAGTACTGCTAGTGAGGTCGAGAAGTCAAATGCGAGTCGGGCCAAGTGCCTTTCGCATTCCCAGTATCAATTGTTTATTCGTATATCTCCTCCCAGTCTTCATGGAAGGAGAGCAGCAGGGCATTCAGTTTCATCAAGTCCTAGTAGCCCACGGGAGGGTCAAGGATGAGCCAAAGGTAGATCAAGGAAAGGCACACAACATTAGACCTAAAGAGGAACATGATGAATACGTGATGGTTGATCTCGATTATGATGAGTTGGACCAGGAGCCATATGAAGAAAAGGGCGTAGAGGAGGCGTGTAGTGAACCTCACCAGTTGGAAGCCCCGTCAAATTTCCGCATGTTTCAAGGGGTGGATGAACTGGCTGAACTTCTGGTGCATCACATCGTCGATTGAGTGTCGTCGTCATCCTTAATAATAGGACCTACTCTACTACCCGCTAGATAGGTTCCATCGTACGAGGGACTAGTTACACTCGTCTTTAGTACTAGTACTAGGATCTATGCTATGTACCCCGACTCTATGTTTAAGTGACTACACTACTCATAGAGTCGTTATGTTGTCAAACTAGTACCACTTATGTATGCTCTTTCGAGCCAAATTTTAATGTATCAAAGTGCGGGTAATAGTAATGAAAGATTTTACATGTTTTATTATGACATTATAATATGCTATGTGTTACGTATCCATGATTGTATACTAAATTGTAGAAGTACTTAAGTTTGTGCCACACACCTAGTCTATAGGATCACAACCTCACAAAAACCACATACACTCAACATCTTTCCGTTCTATGACAGAAAGATGCCTCAACGACCCACTCGCGGAAAACCTGGACCAACCCCACCCGAAGTCGACTCAGCTGCATTCAGGCAACTGTATCTGCTGCGGTCACCGCAACAATGGCGCAAATTCACCAAGGGAACAATGGAGGAGTCAACGGAGAAGGGGCCGAAAGTTTGAACAACGGGATGAATCAAGGACCCACCAAAACATGTTCTTACAAAGACTTCACCAATGCCAAACCACGAACCTTTAACGGCACTGGAGGGATGATCACCCTGAAGCGATGGATCGAGAAGGTGGAATCAGTATTCGAGATATGCGATTGTACTGAGGAGATGAAGGTGAAGTTTGCCGCATGCACTTTCGTTGACCAAGCGCTCACTTAGTGGTACGGACACGTTGAAGCCATGACACTCCCCATAGCCGATTCCATGCCATGGGCAGAAATGAAAGAAATACTGATGGCCGAATACTGCCCTCGTGGTGAAATTCAGAAAATGGAACAAGAGTTGTGGAATCTCACTGTCCGGAACACTGATATAGATGCCTACATATTAAGGTTTAGCGAACTGTCTCTGTTATGCCCTTGCATGATTACCTCAGAGGGTAAGAAGATCGAGCAATGCATCTGGGGACTAACCTCCCCGATCCAAGGTAACGTGATAGCTGCAAATCCCGAAACTTTCGACAGTGCCAAGAGATTGGCCAAGAAGCTGTATGACCACAACAACAAGAGGGATGAGAAGCGAGTAGAGACTGAAGTTAAGAAGGAAAATGATAGCAAGAAGGGGAAGAACAACAAGAGGAAGGGACGTCAAGGCTCCGAATCATCCAAGAAGCAGCAAACAGTGGCAGTTAATGCTACAACCGCTCAAGTTTCGTCCACACCACATGCTCCAGCCTCAGCTGCTCCAAGTGCTCCTAGACCTTATTCCGGTAATCTTCCTAAGTGCAACAAGTGCGGTCTCCATCACAATGAAGAATGCAAAGAGATGCAGTTCACCAGTTGCAATCGGAAGGGGCACACGACAAGGTACTGCAAGACTTACCCTCCTCAGAATCAACAACAGGGAAGCAACAACAACAATAACCGCAACAACAACATCACCAACACTGGCGGAAACAATGCAGGACCTAGCCACACCTGCTATGGATGTGGAAGGACTGGGCATTTCTGTCGAAATTGCCCCAACAACAACAATCCCGGAAATGGAGGAACAGGAAGGGTGCTGACCATGGGTCAGGGAGAAGCGATTCAGGATCCCGATGTTGTTACCGGTACGTCGAAATAAGTTAATTAGCTAGCTTCTTTAAAAGCGTAGATTTGGAAAACTCATCTAGTGTTTTTTTTTAACTTTGGGATAAAAAAAATTAGTGGTGACAACTCTCGACCCAGCCCGTAACCCGACACTGACCCAACCGAAAATAGATAGGTTTGGGTTGATATTTTTGACCCACCAACCTGTTTATATCATGGGTTTGGTTGGGTTATCTGTTTAGGTTCGCGGGTCAACCCGCCAACCTCTGTGTGTGTGTGTGTGTGTGTGTGTGTGTGTGTGTGTATATATATATTAATTACATTTAAAAAATGATATATTTAATTATTAATGAAGAAACATCCACTTTCCATCCGTATTCGTAATATTTCGTATTATTGTATTTATTCCGTATTTGTATGTGACTAATCTGCGTTTGCGGTTCGTTAATCAAAAAAAAAATACATGTCGTTATTTTTAGATACTCACAAGTCGCGAATGAAGAAACATCCACTTTCTATGAATGTGTTCATTTTTCATTTTTTTTTTGATCTTATTGACTTTATGAATTGTTGTTGAAAGCCTTTTTTATGTTAATTATTTTAATTATTTTTTGTTGAAAAAACCTCATTTTTAAAATGCGTTGCTTATTTATTAAACATGTTATATGCGTTGGGTTTGATCCATTAACTTGTGAACCCGCCAACCGATATACTTAGATGAATTATAAGGGTTGGGTTGGGTTGATGTTTCCAATCCACCAACCCGTCAACCCATATATTATATGGGTTGAGTTACGTTTATATTTTATGACCTGTCAACCTATCAACTCGTGACCTGTCAATCCGAACCCAACACAATTATCGGGTTTATAAAAATGTTTTAAAAAATATCCCAAAAAGCTTTAACTATTGATTATCTTAGGTGCTGTTTGTTTTTTGGAAAAAACCTCTTCAAACCTCTTACTGCTGCGCGGCGCAGCAGACGCGCAGCACTTTTAATCTCGCAGCTGTTTGTTTTTTAGAAGCCTTCTGAGTCAAAAACCTCTGCGCGTGCTCTGTTTGGCGCAGCACTTGTACTGCCTCTTCCAACCTCTTCTTCTTCTTATTTTATTGCTGAAATTTTGATTATATATTATTAAAATTTTATTTCATATTTTTTTTCCCTTTTTTTTCATTTATTCTTATTGAATTTATTTTTTATTTTTTTTATATTCAATAATAATAATTTCTTGATGAAATATCATTATTTTTTACTGAAAATATCTTTATTTTTTGTTGAAATATCATTCTTTTTTACTGAAATATCATTAATTTTTACCGAAATGTTATACATTATTAAATTTTACGTATTAAAAAGCTATTTTCGGTTTATAAAATTAGTTTATTTTAATTTTTTAATATCTGCAGCAGTATGCAGCTGTTAAAAAAACAAACACGCTTTTAATTATAGTCTGCAGCCGTTTGGTCCACCTCTTCTACTGCAGAGGGTTGCAGAGGTGGTCCGCAGACTTCATGAATTTTTGCTTCAGAAAATCAAACAGCACCTTAGATAACACCCTTGATGACTACACTTTTGATTACATCACTAAGAACATTTTTTTTTTTATGAAAATGATAAAGCTGATTATTTTTTTGACCTATACCAATTAGAAATTAAAACCATTAGGTCTGATTTTGGATTATGTTTGAAAAATATAGATGTACACTAATTAGGTCTTTGCTTTTAAAATGATGAAAAATATATAACAAAGGAAAGTTGGAGGGATGATTTTGAAATAAATGAAGAATATGACAACGAGTGATCAATTGTTATGGGTTTGATTTTTGTGGCCCATTGGACTGTCATTGTTTTAAATTATTCTCCCCTACAATAAAAATGTAAATAGGGCCCACTTTTTACCTGCTTTTCGCCTTCTTGGTACGTGATCTACACGCGCTGCAGACTTTGTAGCCCATTTTCTGATCATGGACCCCAAAATTCCCGCAACATGTCTTTCTTCCATCAACACACTGTCAGTGCAGCGCCTCTCATAATATATTTCTTTTCAAACATTTTCCTCTCTTTTTTTTCTTGATTAGGACTTGATTTTATAACATATTTTAAATTTCAATAATTATATATTGATATAACATAGTAATTATCTTTTATCAATCTACCTATTGTTTTAAGTTTATGTAACAAAAAGATTTTTTTTATACATATGTGTGATTATTTTCGATAAAGATTAAAAATAAATGCACAATAGATTTAGAAAAAAAATATAATTATGTATATATCCTATGTAATATTCTACTTACATAATATATATATATATATATATATATATATATATATATATATATATATATATATATATAGAGAGAGAGAGAGAGAGAGAGAGAGAAAGAAGTGGGTTTAATTGAGAAAAATAAAAAATGTTGAGAATTGAGAAATCATTCTCAGTCACTCATTTAATTGAAGCATAAAAAGACACGGTGACAAACTTATAAATATGTTAATAACCTTCAATCTCAAATACGTAACTATAGAGAATTCGATAACAGTTCGTTCATCATAAAAAAATTTCCTCCAACCTTCAATAATCATCCAGATTTCTTCAACTAAACCGAAATTTCTTCGTTGTTCATGAAATTGGAATCGAAGTTCTGGACTCGCAGTCACACTCGACATTGAAGGACTCATAATCGGTACTCACAAGTTCTCAATCGGATTTTCGAAAATCAAAATCAAAATGAGAAATCGATCAGACATAGGATGTTTCATCTGAAGTCGAAATCGGAATTATATGATGATTTGGAATTGATAACTTAATGTTTTTAATATTTTTTAAATAGTTAACTTGTATGCACTCCAGCTGTTTGATGAAATGCATAAACTAAATTATCACGTTATATTCACATATGAATATGTTTTCTCACCTGAATCAGTATATGATTACTAAAAACACAAAACAAATATGCAAATCTGTATGTTATTCATTTGTGAATCACATATAAAAATTATATATATTTGTCAAAATACCTTCAAATATTTATAAGTGAATATATTCGCAAGTGAATATACATTGCAATATTCATATATGAATATACTGTGTAATATTCATAAATGAATATATCATTTAATATTTACAAGTGAATATAGTATGTAATATTCACATGTGATATACCTTGTAATACTATGTAATATTCACATATGAAATATCATTTAATACTCATAAGTGAATATATCATATAATATTCACAAATGAATATGCTATGTTAATATTGACAAATGGATGCATCGTCCAATATTAAAATATAAATATACTATATTTATTATATGCTATATTTATATATGAATGATACTTAAATT